CATCAGAGGTCAGCGGTGCAATGTTTTGCCTTGGGTGTAGCAAGTGTGAATGGGTGGTAGCGCTAGCCATCGCAATTGTTGAGGATAGGTATGCTATACCAGTCATACGGCGAGATAATGAACATTGGGTTGGGCTTATTGTAAGTACTGCGTCACCTAAGTGTTTGCTTTTTCCATCTACGAGGGTCTGCGCTTGATGTTTCAAGTTCTTTTTCTCGAAGATTAGTAGGAGCGACCATTCTTTAATGGCTTATGGCAAGGCTTGAGCTAAGTGCGGCTACACCTATCACAGGAAACTGCCCAACATGTATCGGAAACGATGGACTGAGGCCTTTGATAACAACTTTTTTTTCTATTGTTCCATTGGCGAAATGGCAGTTGAAGCACCGGACATGTCCCACTGGGCTCTGAGTGCATTGATCAACCGGGCCGTTGGCCAGGCGTGGTCTCTTTCAAAGTCGGCCAAGATCTCAATTATTTCTTCCCTCTGTTTCTCGCTTGATACAAGTGGGCCCCAAATTAAAACAGTGTGGCGAACTGCAATTGCTAGTGGTACTGCTTCTTTCGAGCTTTTGGTCGCTCCGCAGATGGCTTGGGCATGCGATAGGATTTGGTGCTATAGAAGTTAGCAGTCAGTCTTGTACATGAAAGACCGAAAGATTTACGTCTGTTTTAGACAGTCGATGGCCATCATGAGCTACCGAATCTGAGTGTGGCCTGAACCTGAGTAGCATGATGCAAGCAAAGTGGTAGTAACAGAATGAAACCGCTGATGAATTAGCACGCGAAACGGTAAGAGAGGAGGCTTGAATGATCTTACCATGCCAATCAGCTGTAAACCAAGTGTTGGGAAAAGAGCCGCTATCATCAATAGGACCTTGATAGATGGGATTGAAGCCAGCTGGCCTGTCCCGCATCCATGTCTGAACAAGCTCCCACAACTCTTCCCAGTGCTGTATCCTAGAACGCATATCGCCATATACCTCGTTCCCATCATAGCAGAAGTTGACGACGCGCGCAAGGTTCCATGCCATCTGGTTGGACCAAGCCGTTTCCAACCTTAGCCGTGCCAGTGGATGTGCATCTCGCATTGAGCCGGGTGTTGGATGCAGCTGCAGTGAGAAATCTATGTCGAGCGGTTGTTGGTTGATAGTGGCTTTGTGTATGCACTGTCTTACGTATACCCAGAAGGCAGCTTCGCGCAGAGTGGTTGCGGAAGGGTCTACGAAATGGTGTCCTTGTGAAGAGCGGATAATGGCCGAACAACCTGCGAGATGCTGTTCGTCTTCTAACCCTATACTTGAGGGTACTATATAGAAGAGTTAGCAAAGAGACTGCATATATCGAGAGCATCGTGCAAGCTTACCGCTGAGCTGCTCATAGAAGTGCAGTATGACAATGGCACATAGAAGGGTCTCATCATGGCTTGCAGCCTCCTCGTTCAACCGCAGGATCAACAGCGAGATGCAGCGCTGATAGGCCACTTCTGCAACAGAGTCTTTTCGAGAGTGACGAGCAGCGAGTGCAATGACGGCGTGACGAAGGACGGAACAAAGGGTGATTTTTACGGGTACTCCAAGAGTGAATTGATCGGTTGCATCTGTACAGTCGAGCCAGCGGCCGATATGTTCAGTATAATGATGGACCAAGAGGGCCTCTTCATGGGTCAGAGGAATGGGTTCTGCTGCATGGCCTGCGGTGCCTACGGGGTGTTGGTCCAACTGGCCCTCCTGCGCCAGGAAGGTCTCCATCGACACATGGCCTCTCGTACCCTCCGCCTTGTTGACATAATATGGCGGAGCCGGAAATCCCTGGACCAATACGGAAGGCGCGCTGGAGTATGGAGTGTCTAGTACCCCGTCAGTCTGACTGTTTTTCCGAACGTTTCTCTGCGAGATGGACTGGCTGCGACTTCTTTCACCAATACCGTCGGTACCATCCATCTCTTCATCTTCATCTTCTGCATCTTCGCCATCCACTCCGTTCATATTGTCTCTGGCCTCATTTTCATCGTCCGTGCCGCCCGTAGCAAACTTGCTTGATGAAGCTCCACCAGGTCGATAGTCTTTGAACTTGGTGTGCGGTTCCTCCCACTGACAGGGCCGATTTTTCTTGCTACAGGCCTTGCATGTTGGATGAGTTTCGTCGCCTGACGTTCGTGTAAGCGCAGATGAACAATTTGTGTAGCGTACTTACACTTGACACGCCGTGCTCGACATGTAAGACTTTGTCCAGGTCAGCATTCTTTGTGACCGCCAGATTGGGGTTATTACTAACCAGCCACTTCTAGAGCGGTATTTACTACACCAAGTCAGCTTGCATCGAATACAAAAGCTCCAACAAGACTTTACCCCATACGTGGATACTGGAAGCTACTAATCGAATCTTGGGTGTACCTGTCGCAGTGTCAGCGGGGTCCATGGTGCCGCTCAATCAAGTTGCAGTTCCAAAACAATCTTCAAAGGTCCAGATGGTGGCTAATTCCGGGGATCCGTACCGTGGTTGTGTAATATGTGTGTATTGGGGTTGCCTATGCACTTTACCGACTTTGCTCGAAAGATCACCTAGCGACCGACATTGGAAACCGCCTGGGGCGATTGGGAGCGACGAAAAAAGGCGCTTAGATGTGGCTTGTAAGTTCCAAAAAGGTCTATCCTAGAGCCCAATAGTATTATCGAGACGAAATCGTTACCAGTTGAGTGTGGCTTCGATTATATTAGTCATTTGTCGAATAAGATTCCCTACCCACTGACGTGTTGCAAAGGAAGCCGCGGAGGCACTTGCTTGATACACGGCACATTAAATCTGCAGATTACGGTCAAGTCGCAACGTTCTTTATCTGCGTCGGGCCCTCGAGAGTGTGTAGTCATCGAGCCGCGCTTACGCAATGATTGTTATAACTTCAGAGTTACTGAAAGTTGCGGCACATCCGATATTCACGCGCTTGTGCTGTTAATCCTTGCTGGATGAAGCTTGCTACGGGCCAAATTCCCGAAGCCAGTCACAGCTGCCAGAGCTCTACAAGCTCGATCGCCACTCACTCCCACTGTCAGCCTATATAATCCTGAAGGTTCATCATTACGTGTAGCAAGCCAACTCCCGACCTTTAAAGGAAGAGCCCGCACTCGAGGTTCCAGGGTTCCAGGGTTCCAGGGTTGGCACCCTGTGAGCCGAAATCGCTGACGTAGCTATGATGCTCCTAGTCCCAATAGACTGATTCGTATCGAGAAATATTTTTCGTACAATTTGGATGCGCGGATGATCTGATCATACGAAGAGTTTCCAATATCATTCACCATGCTCTTTCAGCAGCTATACTGAGCAAATCGACAAGATACGGGGCATAATAGCATGGCTTTTGTGATGGCGATATCGATCATTTGTGTCTCTGTGGTTTCGCTAAACGTGGCTCAGATAGTGCCAAACTCAGTGACGAGTGCAGGAGCCAGTAATTCGGCGCCTTAGCTACCGAATTGCTGTTGTGTCACATCTTATACCCACTCACCAATCCACTGCGCTCAACTATTCAGTCCTTCACGCCCTCTTGTATTCGACTTTGTTTGAGCCTCTAGAATTCCAGTATTTCTGTATGGGATCGCCGAGAGCCGTAAACGCCACACCTCAACCTGACGAGATGCGAGACTGGCTAGAGACCGAGACAAAAGGGCCATGCCCCTGAGGCCAGAAAAGTTTGTCGAGCCCGCTATAAGAGCACCTATGTTTCTTCTGCTACTGTCAGCCATGACAAGCGCATTCAGAGGCAGCATTCTGTACGCAACGAGGACAAACCCATAGTGAAATTATTCTGGATGGTTGGCCGTTCCAACTAACACATTCTGGGTCAGGTCAGCAATCAGCGGCATGCTAGGTGACGGTAAAGCGCCCAATTCCGGTGAAGCACTTGTTGGAACGATGCGTTCCCTCAACGCGAGAATATTTGTCTAAGAAAAAAACCGCAATTTCGTATATGGTGCGCTAAAGGATATAAAGATCCAAAGTGTTTTCTTTGGGAGATTTTGATGTTACTAGCGCCACATACGCACCTATCGGCAAGTATACCGGTTTATTCTGAGTGGACGAGAGCTCTTTGGTACCACTTTACTCGATGTTGACTTGCATACCCTCGGTGGCTAGGGAATCCTCACATCGCGTCCTCGTCTCGATCCGTCCTTATACGCGTTTCGTACTAAGCGCTACTCAGCAGTATATGTGCGACCTCGACCAGGATGATATGAAGGCAGGGTGATGTTTGTCCTCACCTAAAGATGCTGGAACGTCTGAAAGGTCTTGAAACTTTTAGTAGTCAAAAGTTCCAATGTCTCTCTACCCTGTCGGGGCAAAACAAGCCATGTCCCCGAAGCGCCGTTGAGAAACAACAGCCGAGCAGGGGCGCGTCCTCGATATTGCTGCTATATATGGGTACGTATGTGTTGCCAAAGACTGTCTACGCTATCCATGTCCAAGGACTGGCTCGTTTTGACCCGTACAAGTCGGTGAATGAGTAGCGCATTATTGAGGTTTGACAACAACTGACGTCGAATGCTACAAGGGTTGTACCTGCAAGCACATCTGACCGTATCCGGCATGGATACGAGCGCTATGCCCCGATGTCGTCAGGGCCTCGACATTCCAAGCTTGTCATCTCCGACGGCAAAGAAAGACTAAAGCGGCATGGTGGGGAGATATCCAAGGACGACAACATAAGAGTGGATATCAGAGAATTTATTGCGCTACGTGTATCTGGGGCGTGATAGGCTAATAACTCATGGCGCAAGAGTAGGTAAAGCATGTATACAAGGTGCAAAGCAAATTGGATACCAAGTGGCTCATAGGTGAAGATGATAGCCACGCGTTTGCTACCGACTCTGATGGCTTGAGCATTGCTCTAATAGGCATGGGCGATGGCAGATCACAAATGTAGAGTTGGTATGCAAGCCAAACATAGGCCATCATGATGTAAGCACTGCGGTAGTAGTACTATACAAAGCTTGAATGGTTTGGGGAAAGTGTAGTTGCATATGCATGTGCTTAATTTACCACATGAAAATAATTTGGGTGTATAGCTTGTACACGCCTTATCCCCCAAATATCCATTTCTCCATGAAATTTGGAAAAAAAATGACACTTGTCAAACATGGTCAGGATGCTGACAAAACACACCCTTCACCACTCACAACCAGCCAAATACATAGAATGCGTGATGCCAGTTCCCGGCGGTCGTAGTAATTTTATACACATGATACAACGTAAATACATAAGAAAAGCCTAATATTCTTTCCCGTACATTTTTTATATTCATCCCTCTCCACATTCAACACATCGGCCCTTTGTACCTAGTCCAACCATCCAGTCTAGAACCCCCTAGCCTGTAGGAACTCTGCAATCTGACTAGTATGATGACCCTTGACAATAACGTGGCTTGTCAGACTGTTAATCTTGACATCCTCGTTCTTCTTGTTGAGGAAGACCCTCAGTTCGTCTCTTAGAGCGGACAAATCGCCCGTGATCTTGCGTATGGTAGTCAGGTGCAGATTGCCGCCGCGCTTGTAGTCGGTATAGATGGGTAGGTTCTTGTTTATTGATCGCGAGACGTGGTATTTGGGGGGTGGAAGAGATATCTTTTGGACGAGCGGTGTCTTTTGTTTCTTGGGCGACTTGGGCTTTTGTAGCGAGGGCGCGGTGGCGGCGTCTTTTGGCTTGATGTCGGCGCGGGGGTGCTTGGATGGTAGGACGGGCTTGGGCTCTGGTGGTTGCGCACTGTCGCCTTCGGTGAGGGATTCTGCTGCTGCGAGGTCGGCGGCGCGCTGGGCTTGTTGGGGTGTTGATGGATGTTGAGATGAGGCGTTTGGTGGGAGAGAGGGATTGGTTATGGGCTTAGCATTTGGCGGAGGCTCTGCTAATAGTCAGTGGATATGCGCATAGTATAGTATACAAGTGAAGAACTGACGCTCAGCTCGCCATGTACTTGCAGTGGAGAAGCGCAGGCGTTGTCGGGATGCGATTACTCGCGGAGCGGCCAATGGCCTCAGCAGAGGAATGAGATATTGTATGCGAGGCATTGTAATATACCAGAATCGAACAGTCGCCTGTCAGGAAAAGAATAGCTAGGCGTGGGAATATGCGGCGGGGAGAATGGCGATGCGGGCTTGAGGCGTGAATTGCGGCTCAACACCACAAGTTTAGCGTACAGGGGTCCTCGCTTGCGCACAGTCGTTTTTCATTATCCCAACCCCCACCACCGCCGCCCGCCGACAAGACGAATTTCGCGCCCACGACCGCCCCTCCCTCCACCCTCTCCCACTCCCCCGCCGCCGCCGACGACGACGACGACGACAATCGCCCACCATGGCGGACTCAGCGACAACAGGCGCCAGCATCGCCGAACAATACTCGCTCCTCCCCAAGCTTATGCCCAACCTCGACCGCCACCTCATCTACCCGCTCCTCAACTTCTCGAGCGATGAAGAGGCCGAACAGACAGTCGAGCAGAAGAAGCTGCTTCTTGAATTGCTCAAGCCCACAAACATGACCGATTTCGTCGGACAACTGCACCAGGACGTCCACGGCCTCTCTGACATGTCTGATGAGTACAAGAAAAAGCGCGAGGAGGTCCTGCAGAAGCGCGACCAGCTCGAGGAGGCCACCAGCAAGATTAGCGGTCTTTTGGATGACGAGAACGTTGTTACCAACCTGAGGAGTGACAAGCAGCAAAACTTGGCCTACCTCAAGGAAAGCCACGGCGTCGACATGGAAATGGTCAACCAGCTGCTCGAGTTTGGCCAGTTCCAATACTCGTGCGGTGTATACCCACATGCCGCAGAACTACTCTACCGATTCAGGGTTCTGGTATGTTTCTATCTGCAAGCGCACTCACTCTGTATCATGCCTTGCTAACACACCTTTTCCAGACCACCGATGGTGACAAGGAGCGCGAAGCTACTTGGGGTAAGCTCGCTTGCGAGATCTTGTCTGTCAACTGGGACTCGGCCATGGAAGAGATCAACAAGCTCAAGGAGATTATTGACACACGCCTCTTCAACAACCCCCTCGCACAATTGCAGCACCGCACCTGGCTGATCCACTGGTCGCTCTTCCCCCTCTTCAACCACGAAACCTCGCGCGAAACCCTCACCGACATGTTCTTCTCCCCCGCATACATCAACACCATCCAGACAAACTGCCCCTGGATTCTGCGCTACCTCGCTGCCGCCGTCATCACTGGCCGCAACCGCGGCAGGAACTCGAACCAGTACCAGAAGCAGCTCAAGGACCTGATTAGGATCGTACGCCAAGAAGGTTACGAGTACAGCGACCCTGTCACCGACTTCATCAAAGCCTTGTACATTGACTTTGACTTTGAAGAGGCACAAAAGAAACTCAGCGAGACCGAGGAGATTCTCAAGAACGACTTCTTCCTGTTGGGCGCGGCAGACCAATTTGTGGATGCGGCCAGGCATCTGATTTCCGAGAGCTACTGCAAGATTCACCAGAGAATTGATATCAAGTAAGTGGACGATGATTCTTAATACACTCTCAAGTCATTTACTAACAACCTTTTGCAGGGACCTCTCAACACGCCTCGGTCTCTCCCAGGACGAGGGTGAGAAGTGGATCGTCAACCTCATCCGCGACACGCGCGTAGACGCAAAGATCGACTACCAAGCCGGCACAGTCGTCATGAACCACCCCCCACAATCGGTCTATCAACAAGTCATCGAGCGAACAAAGGGCGGCTTCTTCAGGACCCAAGTCCTTAGCGCGGCCGTTGCCAAATGAGCCCTAGTTTTCCTTGCAAAGAACAAATCCTTGTGCATTCTCTTGTTCATGGCAAATTATCGGGGGGGTGTTTATGAACAGCTTCTGGGGAGGCAGATGACACGGTGAGGTAGGGCAGGAGATTGACGATGATGAACAAGCATGAGGATGAGTGCCATGATCTATGATTGTGTTTGGGGGGAAAGGAAGGAAGGAAAGAAAAATCAATCAATCATAGGATCCCGGTTATTTTTGGCTTTGCGAACGGGAGCCATGTGAGAAGGGGACGTCTATGTATGTGACTCACGTACTTGATTGCATCAGGGAACTGGCGTCTTTATTTTTCCCTTTTCCCAACAAAAAAGAAGGGGTTTTTTTTTTCGATGGCTCACCCCTCTTTTTTTACATATATCTTTCTCTCTCTTTTTCTTGTGGCTATGGCTGTGGACACAATGAGTGTGGGGGGACATCAGAGCGCTGTATATTACGATTACAGACCGGCGAGTAGAGTTCGATATGTATCTTCAAAAGCAAGATTGAAAAGTGGACGAGGCGAAACGAGAAAAGTTGATGTTGTGACTGATTTTTTTTCATCCGATTCTCCATACAAAAGGAAACTTACTACTATACACAAGCCTGCCCATACAGACTTGACCTGCAACAACCCCAGCCTTGCTCTACCCTTAACTGACGTGCTTCTTCCTTACCAACCTCTGTCTCCCCTTTCCTCCGACTCATTAGGCAAAATACCTAGGCTCATTAAAAACGTGATACCTATGCCCCCTAACACCCTCTCCCTTGAACAAATCCGGGAACCTCAATCCAGCCGGAACCTGCGACTCATGCACAAGCTCATTGCTGGGATTCTCAGGTTCGCCAACTACGAACTTACCAACCTGTGACAACACCTGTATTAGTACTAGTCTTCAAAGAGAAAAGAGAAAACAAGGGTGAAAGAAGGGGAAACATACCTGCAACTCCGTATCCGTAATCGTATGTCTAGAGACGCGCGCATACCCCGTCCTCTTGAGTCCCTTGTAGAGAATGTACTCGCACCAGCGATCCCAATCGCTAGGATCAATATCCTTCATTCCGCTCTTCTCGCCAACATAGGTATTATAGTTGCCCTCTCCGGGTTTGATGACGAGGTACGAAAGCAAGATGGCCGGGCGAGGCGTGGCCTTCATGCGCTCGGCCAGGTACTCTGATTGCAAGCGGCGGTCCTCCGGGTCTTCTTCCTGGCCGGAGTGGAAGACGAAAATGTCAATCATTTCGCCGTAAGCGTCGATTGTGGCTTCGATGGCGGGTGCGAGTTCGCCTACGGGTGAGGGGAGGAGATGGTGTGTGCTGTTCACAATGGGGAATTTGGAGAGGAGAGCGGAGCCCCATGTGTGCTTATTGGGGCCGGGGCCAAAGTCGACGTACATGCCTAGGTCCTCGGCGAGGAATTGCGTCGAGTCGCGGTTGCCCATGATGATGCGCTGCAAGTCGCTCTCGAGTAAACCAATGACATCGACCTCGAGCTCTTTGATTAGGTCGCGCATGCGGTGCTCGGATGACCACATGTCGTTGTCTAGAGAGAAATGGATTGTCCAGATACCAGCTGTGATGGACTTAGTCTCCGGGTGGTATGGCTTGTAGTCGTAAGACGGGAAGCGTAGGTATGCAACTGCAACAGCGATAATCTCAAGAATACCGAGGATGTACATGTAGTATGAGCGCTGTCGGCTAGCGGCTGCAGTGATGACAGCCTTGCCCTTGTAGCTCTTGAGCACTGGTGGCTGGGCAGAGACACTGAAGACACCTGCACCAATCTGGAGCATCATGCATGTCATAACCCAATCAGTGTGTTCACGGACAAGAGGTCCACCAGGAACAAAGGCATATGCCACCACCCAGACGTGGAAAAGCACCATGAAGTTATATACCAAGAAAGCAAGGCCAAAGGTACGACCTGGTGCGTGACGAGCTGCGTGTGAAATGAGGATAGGTGCTGCTGCCATGGTATACGTAGCCAGGACAAGAGCACCATAGAATCCAGTCCAGTGGCTGGTGGTAGTCAAGAAGGCGGCACCAATCGAGCCGACACCATAAAAGGCCCATGATCGCGAAAGGTTTGGCGCGAACAATCCAATCATGAGTCCAACACCCATAGCAAACAGGGTCAGCGTGCCGTGAGGGACAGCCAAGGGTCCGCGAACGGGGTATCCCTCCCATACCCAGGAGATCATAGTACTTGAATCGGAGAGTAAAGAGTGCATGGCGAAGAGTACTCCAGCAAGACCGAAACTAGCAAAGACCGAAGATCCTTTAGTAGGGCCCTGAGCTGGGATATCAGCGCCAGCGCTTGCGGTCGATCTTGTTGATATAAGAATGGAAACGAAGGCGACTACCAAACCAGTCTTGTTCCAGCCCCCGTTTTCCTCGTGCATGATCGGCCAGATGGGATTGTTTGTCCAGAAAGCAAACTTGGCAACGCTAGAGGCTATAAGACCAATGGAGAACGCGGTGATGCGGCCTTCGAGGCGGTGCGGTTGCGACCTCTCTGCAAAGAAGGTGGCCGACCATGCCAGGCATGACATGGACAGGCCAAAGCCAACAGCGAAAAGTCGGTTGACAGGTGTAGTGGTCAGGAAGGCGAGGAGCCCGGAAAGCGAAAGCAGATGGAAGAACCACACATAACGGGTGACAAGGTAGCGGATGGGCTTGATGCCGAGGAAGAAGGGTGTAACAGTGCACATGACCAACGCCTCATAGCCAGAAATGCCCATGTGCCAGAGGGGGAAGTCTGTTCATAATTAGCGAACTATCGCTATTGAGGGATGGGGAACATACACCAGACACACACGCCAAGCGAAGTCAGCATGGACCAGAAAACAAACTAAACAATGGTCAGTCATGTATGTATCAATTCTCGATCCAACGTACTCCATTGTAGACATCTGCAGCTGCGTAGATGAGTCCGGCCCAGGAGAAGGCGCCGGAGAATGTTGCGCCAATCTCTTTGTTCTTCCTATCAACGAGTCAGAGAGGCCAACAGATTTTCTCCAGACGAAACTTACTCTTGAACAGCATCGGAGACTGACTTGGAGCCGGCACTACAAACAGAGTGGATCAGAGAATGGTCAAATAAAAATAGATTTGAGAGTCTATCTATATCGGGAGACGTGGGACATACACGCGAGATAGACCTCGTACGTCTTTGATTACAATCTCAAAGTGCTGGAACTCAATCATTGTGACAGCATCAAAGGCTACATCGAGCAAGACTAGGGACCATTCGAAGAAAGCATAGATGGTGTATGCTGCAAACAGGTAAGTATAGGATGTATAATATGGACGACAAGACGTACCTCCAGCAACGCGGTGAACTTTGTGCTGAATGAAGAAGTAGATCAGCGGCACAAGTGTTGCGAAGAAACTTCCGGCGAAAATCTTTCTGTACTTGATGGCAGTGGCATTCTGGGGACTCAGGGCGAGACAACCAATGGTCCATGGCAGGGTTGCAACAAGATACGAGATCATGAAGATATCGTGCCAGTCATGATCGTCGGTAGAGGTCACATATGTCCATCCTCCACAGGTCAATGTTCGGAAGATGCCGACACCAGCAATGAACTTGGGCAGGGACGAGTTCGGACGACGAGTCAAGACGTACCAGAGGCCGACGAGTGCGAATCGAGGACCTGTTTTAGTTAGCTTGGCCGCGTAGCAGCTATCGCAGGCTGTGTACCAGATGTAAGAGCAATGAACAGCATGAAGACGGAGCGTTCTGGGTAGCGGTCGCCGATGGTCGCGGACACGGAGGGAAACCACTCATCTGGGTAGCCCTGGAAACATTGTCAACATGGCTCTGAAACAGCATAGCACAATGACTGACGTAGAATTCATTCTGTACAATCTTGTGGTAGTGTAGCCCTCTATGATTGTTTAGCCTGGTCGCGTGGGGTGTGAGTGGTGAAGCAATTCGCGTACATTCCGACTACGAGAGCTCCGACAAAGGCGCCTAGAATTCATTTGAGCACAAGCGTATATGGAGATATGTGATCGACGAACTGTAGGCCATGGCGGTATGCGAATAGGATATCCATTTTCCACTGAACTACATGGTATGAGCTGCGGAGGTCTCGGGAGTGCCAGATATGCCATTGCGTACCGTTGCGACAGTGTCGCCGTCCTTGTCCTTGACCATGATGCAGCAGTTGGATGGCCCGTCAATAACCCTCCAGCATTGGAAACAAGGAAAAGAAGCAAAGGAGCGTGGAGAATGGAGAATGGTGTGATGAACTGTCCAATATAGCAGTCTCCTGAAGTTGGTACGTAAGGCCAGGGTCCGCGCTCCACAGGCCAAGGCGCTATATGCGGGAGCAACTCTAGCCTAGTAGTTTTCCGGCCCGGCCAACTTTTTTATACTCGACTTTTGCCAGCAACACCACGCGACGCAAATATGGCTGGCCCGAGTGACAAGGCGCGCTTCTACCTCGAGCAGTCGGCGACGGAGCTGAATGAGCTTGAGCGCAAAAAAATCTTCAGCAGGGTAAGCCAGTATAGACGCTTGCGCAATGGCAGTCTTGCTAATAGTGAGGACAGGAAGAAATCAGCTCTATAGCGAAGAAGCGCTCGGATTTCGAGCACATTATCAATGCCCGCGGCTCGCATCCTGAAGATTACATGCGCTACATCGAATTTGAGAAGAATGTCGACGCTCTCCGCCGCAAGCGAATAAAACGACTAGGCGCTCGGTACAAAGGCTCTGGACAACGGACAATCTATCTTCTCTACAACCGCGCGACTAGGAAGTTTTCGGGTGACCTGGCGCTATGGATGCAGTACATCGATTTTGCGCGCAGAGACAAGGCATACAAGAGACTGAACGACATCTTCACCTCTGTCGCTCGGCTGCACCCTACCAAGCCAGATATATGGATTCTGGCAGCAAACTATTTCATGGACACCCAGGCCGACATTACCAATGCGCGAAGTTACATGCAGCGAGGGCTGCGCTTCTGCAAGAAATCCGAGGTCATGTGGCTCGAGTATGCCAAACTGGAGACCATCTACGTGGGCAAGATTGCAGGCAGAAGGAGGATCTTGGGCCTTGACGTTGATCGCACAAAGAAGGACGAGGATGGCGACGAGAATATGATTGTGCTTCCAGAGGTGACGGCTGAAGACGTGAATCCCAGCCTGAAGCAGGACGATGGTGTGGACGAAGTGGCTCTGCAGAACCTTGCGGCAGCGCCAGTACTTACTGGGGCTATTCCCTTGGCAATCTTTGATTCTGCTATGAAACAGTTCCAGGGTAGCCCCAGACTGGCCGAGAGATTTTTCGGCGTGTTCGCCGAATTCGAACAGGTAGCGTGCATACCACGCATGCTGCAGCACGTGCTCGGTTATCTGCAAGAGCAGTCACCACAGGCGGTTGAGACTGCCATATGCAAGTTCCATCTGCAGTTGTACGGATGCGACGCCGCCAATGCCGAGACTGCACTTAGGCTGAGCAAGGCATTGGACGTGATAAGCTCTACCGTTCAGCAACACCCTAGAGAAAGTAGCAGGGTTGCTGAAGTTGTCGTTCGGCGGCTCTTATCTTTGCACCGGTTACTCGCGGATGTCGATTCGTCGCTGCAGAAGGCATCGCGTGCTGCGCTGCGCAAATATGTTCGCGCAATGGAAGAAGGTCAAGATAGGGGGGACAGGGTGGTTGGTTTGGCCCAATTGCTGCAGCAGGAGGGGAGGAAACTTGATGCAGATCTATTGATGCACATGGGCGTCAAGTACTGGGGGGAGAACGGTGAAGTGCAAAAGTATATTTCAGCAATGGAAGGGTAAAGGAGTGAGAGTGAGAGTGTGGGTGGGCGCATAAAGTCAGCGGATGAGTTGTAACAAGCATAGCCTGCATTCACGTCGTCTGGTCTCGTTAAGCCACCGAGCGGAGCGGACGCCATGTGCTACACCGCTACGGCTCTACTCGCTCTATCGTGAGATGGTGCCACGGCGGAGTGAGTGCAACCACGTCAGCTGCATGGGCACCTGAGCAGCGGGGATTGTGGCAAGACAGCTCCCCCGCAGAGGTGCATCTACATAGATACTTCAGTCATCGGTGCGGGTGCGTCTGGAAGACTTCTTAGCGCCATGGAGTTTCTTTGTCTTGAGGCGGCGCTCGTTATTGGATTTTTGGCTAGAGTTGTTATCAGCTTTCGGGCCGTCGCTTGGTCGCTTGGTCGCTTGGACCGTCGGACACGGTGCAGCAAAAACGTACAGGCGATTGACGCGCTGAGCCTGCTCTGGCGAGGTCTCGGCGGGTACAGCGTTGCGGGCGGCGAGGACAATGGCCTCGTACAGGCGACGGTAGCAGTTGCGGGCGTTGTCCGACTGCTTGCGACTGTCGTCGGCATGGACAACGATGGTATTTGAGCGTGGGCCCAGGTAGCGCAGGCGCTTGATGTGGCTATGCAGAGCTGCAGGGACGTGGGGCAGCAGGGCGTCGAGGGGCACTTTTAGAGTGGCTTTGGAACTGACTCTGGTAGACGGGTAGATGTGGTTAGGCTGGTGGGCGGCGACGAGAGACGAGTCGAGTCGAGTAATATTAAATGTTGGTCATACATACTTGTTCACGTTCTGGCCACCAGGGCCCGATGATGTGCTAAAGGTCAATTCGCCAATAGTCTCGAGAGGGATTGTCTGTGCATGCAGCGCCGCGAGCCACGTCCGAGCAGCATCAAGGCCGTCGTCGGCGCCGTGGCCAGGCGAGCCCGAGGACGACGAGGACGACGAGGAAGACGAGGAAGACGAAGAGTATGAGCAGCAGCAGGCAACGCGCCGCGGGAAGCGGGTCGTCGCCGGGGAGCAGCGGACAGGGCGGAGAATGAGGCGCGGTTGGAGCAGCAGCATGTCAGTGGTTTGTCAAGATGATCTCATGCAGCGACTACATAAAGTAATTTACACAGCGAATGCTTAGGGCCGCCATGCCTGACTACTTACTTACTGGGACTAATTGCTATAGCCCCGTCGCATCCCCCTTGCAAGCGGGCCCGGCCGCTAAAAAACAGCCATCACGTGCCGAAGCTTAACCATCGCAGCGCGCGGTTCCAGGCTGGTCTCGGAGGGCTCGACGCCGAGTCCCAACATCTGCTCGTCCGGCGCACGCTCTTGTCGACGATTCCTCTTCTCCCAACCCTACGCCAGCTTGACCTCACCATCAGCAGCCTCTTGCTTGCCTTGCCACTCACTCCCAGACGGGCTCGCACCTTGCTCCCCGTGCCTGACGCACACGGCCTGCCTGCCTGCCTGCCTGCCCGCCCGCCTGCCTGCCTGCCCTGCCCTCAACTGCCCTCAACTGCCCTCAACTGCCTGCCCCAGCCGACGTCTGCTGCGTCTGCGCGTCGTGCCAATCTTCTAACTATTCTCCGACCATCGCATATAGCACACAGTAGCCAAGCCCCGCCACCAGCTTCTTCACCTACGCCTAGTGTACCAGAACCTGCAGCCTCCTTCTCCCTCTCTATTCACATTCATCTACACTTCTTCCTCCAGCCCTTGTTGCGACGGTGCGTTTTTGTAGTAGATGCTTTGAGTTGACCTAGACCCTCGTCATCCTGCGCCTGCTCTCTGCCAGCCCATGCGCTCTGGCCCAACAGTCTACATGAGACCCAACTCCAGCCCGCCGCAGGAAGCTGAGCACATCCGCCATCAGTCACTGACGCCAGAGAGCCCGCGTCCGCAGAACGTCCCCTCGCCCGCCAACATTCCAATTCTCGTAGAGCACATGGATGCGGCCTATGATGATCTCTCACACAGCAACGGCTCCCACTCCACCGCGACCGACCACTTTGCACAGCATGCGCACCACCACCCCCCCTCGAACGCCATCACTTCCGCACCCTACTTTGCCGACCAGTCGCAGCAGCAGTCATCGTCGACCGCCGCCGCCACCGCCGCCGTCTACCAACACTTAGCAGGGCCTACAGCACCAGGGGGGGGAGACAATGCGCCGGCAGGATACGCCCCGTCGACGGGCTATGGCGTCAGCAGCATGGGTACGCAGCCGCACGCTACCTCCTCAATGCAGAATTTCTCTTCGCAGCATCCGTCGCACCCTGCCTCGGCCACTGATGCGCCCCAGGCGCAAGGTCAAGACCTCCACTCTGCGTACTCATACTCCCATGACAGTGCCTATGCCACTCAGCACGCGCCGACTCAGTCAGCCCAAGGCGCTCACTACCAGACTGAAGCGCGCACTGGGCCCAATATTGACGTTCAAGCCCTGTTGGATTCTCTGACGCCCGCTGCGACCACTGCCAATCCGGGCCAGTATACTGCTGCTTCCCATATGCACACTCAGTCTGCGCAGCCACAGCAGCACAATGCCTCGTCATTGCCCTCGGCTGCTACCAATCTGCCTGCTCGACCGCCCACCCAAGAACAGCCCGCTACGCACCCCAATTATGACCCTAACGATGATATCAGATCCCATCATCCACACAGTCAGAGACCACCCAATGTCCAGCAGAGAGGCAGTGCATCTCTCCAGCCCTTGAATGCGCAGAACCGCGACTTTGCCGGCTCCAATGCATCTGGCCAAACTCAACAGCAAACCCAGCGCAGTACAACGCCTGATGATGAGGATCAGCGATGGCCGCCCGAAGTGAATAGGCGATATGAAGAATTTTTGGAGCAGGAAAGAAAATTTGTTACTGAAGGCCAGTGGGATCAGTTCCCCATGGGCTCTCGACTTTTTATTGGTGAGCCAAGGTGATTCATAGGCCAAAGCTATCGACTAACAGCTTCAAAAAGGCAATCTTCCCACAGAAAAAGTTACCAAGCGCGACATTTTCCATCGTTTCTACCGCCATGGCAGACTTGCACAGATATCAATCAAGCAGGCATATGGTTTTGTCCAGTTTCTAGACGCCGAGTCGTGTCGCAGAGCACTAGATACCGAGCAAGGACAGGCAGTTCGCGGAAGGAAAATGCGTATGTCAACTTCTCAATGGACATGTAGTGTGCAACCAACTAACAATCCCAGACCTTGAGATTTCCAAGCCCCAGCGAAACACCAAGAAAATTGACCCGCCGATCCCCGCTTCGCGCCGGCGTTCACGGTCGCCAGACTATACAAGGGGTGGCACAGGGCCATCACCCAGAGATAATCGTTATGGACCACACCCGAATTCCATGTCCCCTCGGGATAGGGATCGACGTTTCCGCGACCGGGATGATTACCGACCCATGCGATCGCCCTCACCTCGGGGCCCCGCACGGGGCATGAGATCGCGGGACAGGAGTCGCGACAGGTTCGACACACGGTACCGCAGCAGATCAAGGACACCGCCCCGGCGGCACCGAAGTCCATCCCCGCGTCGCGATTACACAGAGGATGGGCTAGACCTTCGCCGCCGACTGCCTCACGAAGTACCTGATATCCAGATCCTTGTTCTTAACGAAGGTCTCCCTCGGTATGTCAATCCTTCAGAACTTTAATTGAAAACCGCACTGACGTTCCAACAGGGATTTCATCCGCTACGTTGAGGATACTTTCCGCTCGCAGAGTCTACGAAGTAACGTTCTCATACTAAGTGGTCGTTTCCCCGAGCCAGCCGTGGTCCGAAGACAGATTCTAGAGGGCGTTCTGGCTATTGTAAGACTCGACACTACAGGCTTAGCCAAGGGCAAAGTCAGCGTTCAGATATTTGATCGGCGTGCAGGTGCTAACAATGTCCAATTCAACGGTGAGTACTTCGTTTCAGTTTCCACGAATGCCACTAATATATTCGCAGAGTATGCCGATCTGGATCCAACAACAGCTGGTCTTTTGGTCAACAACGCCAAACAAACTCAGTCTCGCTCGAACATGCCACCCTCTACTTCGTACTTTCCTCCCAACATGCCACCGCATTACTCCCAGCCCAACAATGCCTTCCCGCCTCTTCCCGCCAGTCAACCTAACATCTCCAATTTGATCGCCTCCCTTGATGGCGCTAGCCTGTCACAATTGCTCGGTGCAATGTCTGGTAGTAACATGGCCCAGAACACGCAACCAACGGCCAACCAGGGGCTGAATGCGGATTTGGCGCGCCTTCTTGCACAAGTACCAAGCCCTGCCCAAACCCCGGGCTTTGGACCAGCGCCTCCAACCCATCTCGCGCAGTTGAATAGCCAATTTCCCGCACTTGCTTCGCTCTTTGCCAACCAGAACCAGACGGTTGCTCCACCCGTCCAGGCTCCCGCACAGCCTGGTCCTGCCCCAGACATGAACGAGATCATGGCCCAGCTTGCTCAGTATCAACGCTGAGATAGACCGTTCTCGGATACACCAAAAGCATTTTAGATACACAGGACGACTGTATCCAACGTCCACCTTCTCCAAAAATCTCCGCCGTTACTACCAATTACCCTGTCTTGTGTATCACTCCCGTTCGCGTTTGCAGTCGACATATTTGTAGACCCCAATCCCTCCAACCTTAGGGCCAAGCCTTTGACGAACCAGCTCACGAAGCCCATTGTAGCACTATCCGGGCCCATTCTGCCAGTGTTTTCGCCCTTGTCCCTCGCAATCCTTACATCCCAAGGCCCTCGCAACAAGACCCGATCCAGCAACGTACCGAAACCATGCAACACGCCCTAACAGCGTTAACCTCTCCAGTCCCTCCATTGGCTCTAGCGATCGTCCAGTCCTGGCCAAGCAGGTTTCGAAAGCCCTAAATACAGCCCCTCGCAATGACTAGAACCATATCTGCAACTGTGGCTTACTTACTTCTTGTACTTTCTTCGCAACAGCGAAATTACCTGTATTTATTCCTGTCTTGCTTTGTTTTCATGTACGGTAGTTTCCTTCTTCACTTTATGGTTTTCCAAATGTTCTGCTTGGAAGGTCTTATGGGGCGCTCAATATTAACGATTTCATCATGTATGGACCGAACCTTTTCTCGGGTTTTTGATGGCTGGTCGGAGTTATCTGCAGCGTTTACAGGTGGGTTTGTTTTCAGAGGAACTATTGGCGCAACCGGTAAAAATGCAATTGAGATATGGCTGTAGTGCGACATGTAGAATTAGCAATGAATCATAGCTTGAAATATCTTACCCAAATTGAGAAGTTCGTATCGAGTACAAGATGAAAATATTCAAGATGATGTCCATGTAAAAAGCTAATTAGTTTACCTAGTCGGGTTAGCGTTAACGCGAAGTGTGATGACATCGCGATAACGGCGCATTGACAGATTTTTGAAATCGCGTATTGGCGACGTCGCAACTAGAAAAAGTCAACCATCGACGATTGCTTGAGTTCCCCACAGGTCGCTGTAGTCATACGACTCAGGCTTTGCGATGAAATCCCGGCCGATGTTTTCCACCTTCGTAAAACCTCTGCAGTCGAATAGCGCATTTGGGAGATTACCACGTCATCGACATTTATACACGCGGGCTACCACAGCAGGGTTGAGCTGCCAGATATGGTATGAGAGGTCACAGTACACCACGCAACAAGCGGGATATGAAAAGATAGTCGGAGTGCAGGGCAGGCGGCATGCCTCATCGTCAGCAGCACCTGCGAAAAGGACAGGTCACAATATCGCAGCAGCACCTCCGCCATTGAGCAAAACCAACAGCACAAGAGTACCTGCAAAGACAAGCCCCCAGCGACCTCTACAACCGGTACGGAATTCTCCTTCTTCCCCTCTTCCTCCAGTACCGATACACCCGTCGAAAAGCGCCACTGCCCCAACCCTCCGAGCCATAGAGAAACTCAACCCTCCACCCTTTGCCTACGCCCCCGAAATCTCCGTCCCCGCCCGAAAAGCCGATCAGAACCTCATCAAGTGGCTTTGGAGCGCCGGCCGCGCATACCTCGCCTTCTACAAAAAGGGCATCTCACACGTGCGCCAAACGGCCAAACTAGCAAAGTCTCTGCGCAAAAAGGCAGCTGCTCACACGCCGAAAAGGCCAATGACCGAGGTCTTGACGAGAGCGGAATGGCAAGTCGTACGACGAAGCAGGCGCGATGTCTTGCGCCTTCCTGTCTTTGGCGTCTTGATGCTTTTGCTGGGTGAGTGGTTGCCGGTTGTGGTTTTGTACTTGACGCCCGTTATACCGGAGGTGTGTCGTATACCGCAGCAAGTCGAGCGGACGCTACGAAAGCGAGAGGATAAGCGGCAGGATCGGCTTCGGAAGATTAGTCTGAAGTCCATGCGGTTGTTGGGTAAGGATCGGCCTGCTTCTAGTACGTTGTCTGATTCATCCTCGTCTGGAGCGATTCCCAAGGGAAAGACCTGGGCGGATATGAGTCTTTTCGAACTCTGTGTCACGGCTGCCAAGTTGGATGTGTATCCCGCGGTTTTTGACTGGGTTCCGCTTGCGCCGCCGAAATGGTGGATGCAGCGCAGTGTGAGGCGGAAACTGGAGTACCTAGAGACGGATTATAGGCTCATTGAACGGGATGGGGGGCTTGGCGGGTTGAATGCTGAGGAGGTGAAACGGGCGTGTGTGGAGAGGGGGGTTGTGGTGTTAGGGAGGAAGGAGGAGGAGCTTAGGAGGGCGTTGGCGGGGGTGTGGGCGGAGGCCAGGAGGTAGTGTGGGAGATGGAAATAGATGGGACTTTTTTTTAGATGTGTATATAAGGGATGAGAATGTTCCTCCGGTATGATGCTTTTTCAGAGTATGAATAACTATGATATACTCTTCCTTTTGATAATTTCGTATTCGACCTACTGGTAATCCCTGGAGCCTACCCGTTTCGGTTCCCTTTTTCCCCCTTTAGTTCTGGGGCGGGCGTTGGAGGTGGATTGGTGGGGGGGGGGGGGGGCGTGAGGCTTTCATATGTACTAATACTCGCCTAGTCCCATGTATCTGTCTTATTGCTCCAGAAGAAAAAAAAGTGTGTACTTCACAGTATGTAAGCATCTCCATGTATCATCATACTCTGGCCCGTAATCATAAGCAATATCACTGAGGCTAATGTCCAAGCCAAGCCGTGGAGACGTATATCTCTCTCTCTGTATTAGTCTTGGTGGAGGCAGTTTGTTTCCTACTCTTCGAATCGAGCAAAAGATTCAACATGAGACTGAGCATTGTAGTGTTTTTTGTTCTTTTTTCTCTGTTTTCTTTCTTTCTCACGAGCGCCATGCTGCGTACGCCTCCATACCCTATCCAAGCAGCACAAACAATACAATACTACATGGGACCCTGACATAAAGAGCCGAGTCCTCGAAACGGTGCCTGGATGCTACAATGCCAGTGATGGGGGAAGGGGCGTAAGAGTGACATGTAAGAATGTAAGGTTTAGTTCGGGACTCGTGGGTGACTAGAAATGGGTAGGCAGGGTTTGGGGCGACGCTACAAAAGAAAGTGTGTTGGTGTTAAGGGCGTTGTTGTTTTGGACAATGGCTAGGTGTGTAGGGGGCTGGGGCAAGGAGGTTTGGTTACGGGGTTTTTTCCTGAGGGATTAATGGCTTTTTTTTGGTTAGTTGCTAACTCGTTGCGAAAGTGCAAGATAAGAATAGAAAGACGTCCAAGGCAAAAAAAAAGCTATCAATCTGTCGGTCTGCTACGTGTTGCAAATCTGGTTGAAATTTAAGGGAAAAGGCAAGCCTCTTATACACAATTGCACAAGAATTATGGTGTGATTGGCATGCATAGGGCGTGGGGGGGCCAAGAGAGACTTTTGTGCATGAATCCTCTTTGCGGGGTTTGTTTTGGGATCAGCAGGGAGAGGAGATTACATGATATATTTCCTATTGTAGAAATCGAGGGCTTGGGTGTTGGATGCTGTGTTAGTCAAAGGGCGCGGGTAGGTGATGCGACGTGGTGGGGAGGGGGGGGGGAGTGTGATGTAAAGGGAGCAACATCCATCTCCCAAGCACCCCACTACCTTTCCCCTCTTTGTCTCTTTGTTGTATTTCTCATACTCTGTTTACGGTGTACTTTGTCGCATCATAACGTATGTGTGCTTGGATTTATCAATCTTCCAGCTGTTCGTACAGATTCTCGCACTGAAGCTGAGTTTACATCAAAAACAGCAATTGGGGTTGCCACGAAGCTAAGAAATCAGTGTTGATGGAACCTTGCCACTGTCGAGATAAGAGAGAGCTGGTCTAAGCTCATTGGTGATACCTAAGCGCTCATGACTTGAGATGGAAAAACCAAGACCAATAGGGTTATAGGCGACGGATCTGTGTTGCCGTTGTTACCGTGGATTGGGGAATTGTGTGAGTAACATCAAGGCTTGCAATAGGTCACAGCTCAAAAGGGCCCATCATGCTGCGGTTGTGAGATTCAGAGGTGCCAACACACTCTGCATCACGGTCAACAGGTTTGGATTCCAAGTATAGACACTTAGCCGGATGTTCGTTGGTGTTGCACCAGCACGCGCACGGCAGACTATGCCCAAAGGGGACTCGGTGACGCACTAAGCCAGGGCCGGTAAATCCCCGGCGACACGTCGGACTTGATGCAAGCAACTGACCATCAACGATCAGTTTGCGCCTCTCTGCACACAGCCCTTGGTAGCCTGCGTCGCCGGGGAGGATGATTCTGGCAAGAGACCCGCGAATACGACATGGCATTTGAGGTGTCGTATGATCTCGAGAATGAGCAACAGTTCTGGGATGGTGAGTGTGAAAGCGTGCGAGAGAGAAGAGAGAGGCTGCGGAGAGCCACACTCACAGTCTTGCAACCCCGCCAACCAGCCACTCTAACTAACTCGCGCGGCACACACACAGAACTCGACGACATCGTCTCTACGCGCTGCCACCAGCATGAGATAATCGACAACTCGCTACGGTCTTTTCTCAATGTCACGACCAGTTACAAATGTACGCTGCTGCTGCTACTGCTGCGCCTCCCCGCTCGGGATTCCCCTGCCGTGATTCAAGTCGTTGACCGCGAGCAGCCGAGTACCTTCAAACCGACTTTAGCATTGCAAAATGTATCTTTCGCATGCTTGAGGGCGATCTTTTTGCCAAGAATAAACAATATGTACGGCGGCAGATAATATATTGCCTGTTGCAAGTACGTGGGATGGTGGTGCTGGATAACGTTGGCTCTGGGGGGCTGACCAAGGATACAGGAAGATGACAATCCCACGCTTCACATTGTCGCCGCATTTCTCCTGTACGATGGTCGAAATAGCAGAGACGACGAAGTCTTTGAGATGATGCATTCCGAGGGCACGTTTGCGAGGCTGGTTGAGTTGGTGCAAAAGGATAGTGTTCAGGAGGAAACCCAATTGCATCAGCTGCTGCTGCAATTGCTGTACGAGTCTTCGCGTATCCAGCGACTGACCTACGATGATCTCAGTGCGTCTATAATATTTGTCTTACAACCTGCTGCTAACGGCTAGTGCTAACATTGGGCTGTAGTGGCTGTGAATGATGCTTTCATTCTTTACCTTTTGGGGATTATAGAAGGTGCCTCTGACGATGCAGATGATCCATATCACTACCCCGTGATTCGCGTACTGGTAGGTTTACTCCCGAAACTTCGAGGTTCTAAACTGACTGTTGGATAGCTGGTTTTGAATGAGCAGTATCTGGTGGCATCTACCACACGTTACAGCGACGGACGGACTGGCATAACAAACCGTGTCATCAAAGCTATATCCACCCACGGCATGACTTACAAGACCTTTGGATGTAATCTGATTCTTCTTCTGAACCGGGAGTCGGAGACATCCCTCCAACTTCTTATTCTCAAAGTGCTTTACCTTCTCTTCGGCAACTCCTCGACGGCCGAATACTTCTACACAAACGATCTTCACGTGTTGGTCGACGTCATTCTGCGGAACCTTATTGATCTCCCCCACGACTCGGCCGCTGCAAACGCACTACGACATACATATCTTCGCGTCCTCCATCCGATACTGTTGCACAGCCAAATCAGCAGACCGCCCCATTACAAACGCGACGAACTACTGCGTCTCCTCCGCCTCCTTGTATCAAGCGGGAACCATTTCGCGCCCGTAGACGAGACCACTGTTCGACTTGTGAATCGATGTACCAGCGTAGAGTGGCTTCAGCCTGCTAATACAGAGTCACCTACAAACGGCAACGGTAACAGACAGTCTCCCGTCGAGCAAGCAGCAATGGGCCAGAAAGAGTACGCACGAAGAGCCCTGGGTATGACTGTGCAGGGCGGAAATGAAAGTTCAACCAGTGTCTTGGAAATTGCGGGTCACACTGCTCAACCTGGGGTTCAGACGCCGAGTATGACGAAGCATGCGCAATGATTTGGGGCAAGAAAAGTATAGGGTGTGTGTTTATGTGCTTGTTTCTGGAAATTTTTGTTCGTGTCGGGTGTGTTTAATTTTTCAATGTGTGATTTTAGCTTTTCGTGGAGGGGGTTTTGAGCAAATGCTTCTTCTGTGAGCGAGTTGAGATATCCACTTGCATTATCCTTTATGAGTATTGTGGTGAGAAGAAGTGTGTGTATGGGCTTTTTTTCTTCTTTCATACAAGGGTTCAGATTCCTCCATGAAATTCGACAAAGTGCAGCGGCGTTCTCTTATTTATTTGCTGAAGTAAACAAACACTATTTATTTCTCTTCTCCATCCGCGAATTTCGTCCATCACGGACACTCCCCCTCCGACCCCCCTTCCGATCCAGGCGGAACAAGGACCAAGCCCCGCTAAAAGGATCGACACGGCGGAAATGCCACACGCCAAGCCTTTTGGGGCGGTGGCGGTGGCTGTGCATATGAGAATACTACGGTTCTGGCTTTAAGTTACTTTCATCATAGGGTATGCAATTTCTCTGCTGTTTTGAAGAAGGATGCAGATGGTAGGGTAGGAGTAGCAGTGTAGTCACAAGGTAAGATTTTCTGCGGATATATTTTTTGGGATGCATAGAGTACATATGACGGTGGAGCAGTGGTTTGCTGGATCGGATGGATGTATCTTGGATTTGAAGTGCCGAGATGAGCGGGTTTTTTTTATAGGGGCTTGGTTTGGCTACATTGGAATGGGAGATTAAGATGGTGATGTGGGTTGTTTGCTGCCCGGGGGGGGGGAGGGGTTCTAAGGAAAAGGTAAGACGAGAGATTTATGGTAAGCATCGTGTAGCTCTTCTCCCGTCTTCTATCAGATACATCTAGTTGTTTGGATCATTGTGCAAATCTCAACTCGAGTAGACGCATTTATACTTCCTTGGTACTAGTTCATTCGGTTGTTTTATTCCGGGTGATTGTGTATCTTGTGAACATGTGAGTTTGAGGCTGCATCATGTATGGTACTCCAAAACAGCCAGAGTTAGCGTAAGTCTTTGCCAATGATACGCTACGAGTACGCCAAGGGGGAATGTAGAAACACCGGCGGAAAACGGTACACAAGTGATCTACATAACGCCTTTTCCAGCCCCAGAAAAATCTCATGCGTGACCAAATGACTCTTGGTCATTCTTTTGCTTTGGGTCCCGTAGTAGTGGTTAGTTTGTTAGGCGCAGACTTACTTTTGAGCACACCCTTGCCAGCCATAGTAGGCGCGGCGCTAACTTTGAGTTGCCCTTTCTAAGTATGTTCCCCCTTTCCTCCCTGCCTTACGTTTTGCAGCCATGACCGCGATTGCCGAGACAATTAAACCGTTAAGCCATCGTGTGCATTACTTTGTGGTTTGGCCTATGGCGCAGTTTTGGACTTTCGGGAGACTGGTTTGCACCGGATACAGCGTCCCGACTGTTATTGCACGTGCGGGTATAGATGCAGTAGTCCGCGGACGGGAGATATATGGCAAATTAAACGGCGTCGAAGGTTACATCGATGCAAGTGGTGCAACATTCGTAGTAATGTTGGCAACTGCCAAAATCTCTGGACACGTCATTATAATCATGGCGTTTCTTGGGGTGCACTCGTAGCTTGTATGGCTTGTGATTATGAAATTATGCCGAGAAAATGCTTTATAATGTAGTGTTAGCCTGTATGCATAATTTGTTTCATTGAGCGATGGTGGGCCTGTGGCACATTAGTAAATAAGGGAGCAAGTGTGTCCGGGAAAATACGCAGATAGTTCTCAGAAACAAACGTATCACAGAATTTAGATTAAACATTGAGCACTCAATAATGCCGAAGATTGTGATACCACAGAATGTGCTGCATCTCCGACAGCACCTGCATTGGCATCGTCGATTGAATCGGTGGTTGAGAATTCACGTTCCAAACGGTCGGTACCACAAACTTAATAGATGATTTTGCATCACGGTTCACTCCCCACCTTCTCCCAGACTATATCAAATACCAATGGTCATGAGTGCGAGTGCTGGCTCGTCTGTGCACTAAAACGAGGGATCTGCCATCAGTCCGCTCTTTCGGACCAACAAGTGCGTGTATTCTATTGTGGCTGGAGAGCAACACCAAATTACTCTACAAATCATCTGGACGTCTTGGTAGCAAGATCCAAGATTCCAAGATCCAACATTACCAACCAAACTCTCCCCTTCCGTTACACCGGTACACCGGCACCAAACAGCAAAAACAAAATCCTCGCCGTCCGCTCACCAGCCCACAGTGACACACGTTCCCATATCTCAACACTTGTTTTTCCTTTCCTCACCGGCTGATTGCCGCCCCCACACCAGCCAAGGCACTCAACAAAGGCCAGCACAAAACGTAATCACGAGACACAGGCACGCCGTTCACCCATGCCGAAACAAACATGTACGCACACGCTCACATAAAAAACCAAACAAGCAAGCCCCCCCCCCCTACCAAACTTTACACCTACACTACACGTCGCACCCTCTCCAACGGCCACATCATCCACCTCGTGCCCTGACAAGGATGCCATACCCACGTGCCCAAAACCACCGTATTCAACTTCCCTTCTGCCAAAGAAAAAAGAAAGGCAGGAAAACGAAAGTACATCACGCACTGATACATTGAATACGTAAATACATACACATTCAAACACACACCCATCGTTCACCCCTCCTTCGGGTTTGCAAACGAGAAGGATCCGCCTTGCTTCTTTACTGTATACAATACCGTAATACTTGTTCTACGTGACTAACCGCTTTTTTCCTTTTTGTGTTTGGACGAGGCAGGCAAGACAAAAAAGCACGCGTGGGTATTTTGGTTTGGCTTCCGGGTTTGCCCGGTGAATTCTACCGTGGCATGTGGAGTGCGGATGGGGGCAAGGAAAAGTGCCGTTGTTGTGGGGTTTCCGCGCATGCAAGGCGGAGTAGTGATGGTGGTGGTGGTGGGTGTAATATGGGGGACTGTTTGGAAGCGAGGGATTTCGCGCAATTGTGCGGCGGGTGCATGGTTTGTTTGCTGGACCGCTAGAGCAGGGAAAGAAAGCGCTCGGTGTTGCGGCCCAAGCTTGGCGGAGGAGGGTGGACGGGGCGAGGAAGGTCGGAGCGAAAGATGGTGTAGTTGCTTCAAGTGGTGAGCACAGATACAGAGTAGAAGGCTATCACGATCGCAAACACAACGATGTCCAGAATTAAAAGCTTTTTATTTCTAAATTCGTGCAATCCGTAAACTGATGCTCAACCCATGTATCGAGGAGCTCCCTGCGCCTACGTTGTCTCGAAAAAAAGAGTGTGCTTCTCTCGTGGACAAGACATGTTCGTAAGTGAAGGGGAAAGCCCTCGATGTGTCCTCCTGGGAAAACGAAAAAGAAACCGCCAAGAAACAAGGACAAAAACAATAGAGTCGTGACAAACCAACAATCCAGTAAACCCTACGTGTGTCTATGTGAAAAGTCATGTCTCGTGTCGAACAACGCTTCACCAACCGTGGAGGAAAATACAATTATAACAGAAAAAGGAAAAGGGGGAATCATATGAAAAAAAGACTTTAGACCATGCGGCCTTGGTGGTCGTAAATGCTCTCGGAAGATGCGTTGCGCGAGACGGCGGTGCTGGGAACACGAGTTGGGGCCTGTGACAATGGGTCAGGCGATGACTCCGCGCCATCACAACTTTTCCGCTTTTCCGACATTTCGGATCTGCCGCATTTGAGCTTCAAGATTTGCTCAACACGCTGACCATTGCTGCATGGAAGGTACCAGCGAGACACGACCATGCAAGCACATGAGAGCAACAGATTAGTGCCGGACCACAACTGAACTGTGAGGTAGGTCTGGTAACGGGTGATGAGGTGCCCAGCAATAATGGGACCGGTGAGGGCTGGGATCGCAGCAAAGGTGTACATCATGCCAGTCCAGTGGCCGAGTTTCTTCTTTGCAAAGTGTCTAGTATCCGGCGCAGTGTAGGAGCAGTTGAGAATGTTGCCGATAGATGCCGGGGGCAGGCCAATAACCATGCCAGAGAAGACGCCAAATACGACACAGAATGCAAGAGCAGCTGTCTCCGACCCTGCGAATGTCCAGAGAAACAGCGTCAGTAAGGAAGCGATCAACTGAGAGCCGATGTGCATGTTGATGGCGCCGATTTTGTCTGAGAAATGAGCCAGAAGCATACGTCCGACAGTTGAGGCACCATTGACGATGACCAGAAGCCAGAATGTCTGCAAAGGTTGATCGGTTGGGTTTGTGGGAGTGATTGGCGACCTGATCCGCTCACGAGTGCCAAATCCGCGTACTGATGCCCACTGAGCGACGTTAGCTGATGAACCGGTTACGGAGAGGGGAAAAGACTTACTTCCTCAAGATTGAAGAAGATGGGATAGAAGCCAAAGAACATGAAAGCAACACCAGCGGTGAACCAGCACCAGGCTTTGTTGCGGAAAGCTTCCATGTCAACCCATGTTCTGATATTGCCCCATGTCTTTGGTGTATGATGCTCGTGGGTTGGGTCTGGAGTGCAGAAGATGAACGAGAAGATGCATGTCACCGAAGTGAGAGTTGCAACATAACGGACAGCATCGTTGAAACCAACAGCGTCGATGAGGTAACGAAGCATGGTGGGGTAGATTACACCAGCTACGCTAGCACCACAGGCAACATAGCCTACGGCGAGTCCTCTGCGTTTGGGGAACCATGTGGAAGCAACTGGCGTCAAGTTAGCGGTAATTCCGACGTGACTCAATGCATTTTGCTTACCTTGAGAGCTAGATACAAAGAAAGTTGCCATGCCGAGGCCAACAACGAAGCCCTGAGTGACCCAGATAGCGCCAAAGTTTGCCATGGCTTCGATGTCACTAGGGTGTACGACACTAAGCATGAAGAGACCAAACGGTACGAGGAACGTGCCGCAGCCAATCACCTTGCGGAAGTGCCCGGCATCCAGTAGTCGCCCAACGACATTGGAGAACAACAGTACAAGGGCAGACTCAGTCGATCCTACCAAGTTCAGTTCGAGCTGGTCAACTCCTCGTAGTGAGTGGCCAACGTAGTATGAAGACCATGTACCGTAAGCGTTTACAAGACCCCAAGAGTTGAACATGAGAAAGAAGCAACCTAGAAGGCATGCATAAGCACGCCATGAGCGCGGCCACTCGGCCTCATGCAGTGCGTCGAGGGAGGTTATGGGGGATTCGTCTCGCATAGAGCTGGTGACAGTTGGAGCTTCCGAGAGTGGCAGGGTTCTCTCGCTGGGCTTGTAGCCCTGATGGTAAGGGAATTGTGATTTTTTCATTCCGAGGGTAGTTCCTGTTGCTCCGGAAAGGTGAGGTGAAAGCAGAAAGAATGAGCTGAAGTCAAGGAAAGCGTAGATGTGCTATGTAACAAGGTGCTCAACACAGATAGTATGTGTTGGAGGGGACGCGCTCGAGTGCGCGCACTAATATTGAGATGTTACAGTTTGACCAAGCGTCAAAACGGTGGGGGGGGGAAAGATATAAGTACAATACGTAGGCTCAAGCCAGTCATGGGTGTGGGACGTGGGCCTAAGGCACCGATTGATAAAGGGTTCTTTTACGGCTCCACTTGTGCTAAACACACCCGCAGCTCCCGCGTAAAGTGTGGCTGACTTTGCCATAGTGACGTGGTAGTCAAACCGGCCGTGTGATGGAGGGATTGAGTGCCGTCACGCACAAGCACCGCAAGGGTGCAAGACTAAGAGAAGCCAAGGAAAATACGGGCTTTGGGAGTCCGCCAGCGACAGGGTATATTACATTACCTTCCTATAGGCTCCCGGTTCGTGCGGCCCAAAGCTCAGAGCTAGTCTAAGTGCTGATTTGGTGGTAATGATCTGCGGACGAGGACGTTCTGGTGCTGGCTGCGTTTGGGCTCCCACGTAGTCGACTGTTGTTGCGAAGCGGCGCCACTTGCAACAACCGATAAGGGTGTTCTCCCCGTGTTGTTTGCAACCTGACTCGTCACCTCATGGGTGCTGTGCGATGCACTCAGCGACACTGCGCGGAACTGGGTGCAGCTAACCACGGTACGTAGTTTGTGTAGCGATGCCATGATTCCGTTTACAATTGTCGATATTGCTCGCAGGCTGTACATCCTTGGCTTGTTCCACAAAAACAAAGGTGCCAATGGGTCATGGACGTTGTGTAGAGTGTGATAGGGGTTGAGGCGCCAAACAAAGTTGCGTTGGACGGCGGAGCGGGTTGTCGTCGCTTGGCAGCATGTCAGCGGGAGGCTCAAGGATGCGGCTCGATTGGATCGGTAGGATGCACAAGGGCCAAGAAGTGCCCAAGTAATGATGTACAATTCCGCCTTGGCCTGATCCACATATCTTGCCAGGGTTGAAATTGAGTCTCCTGCAGGTATTACCGCTGCGACTGCTCGAGCTCTGGGCAGCACCAGCACATGAGCACACTCGACATTGGCCATACGCAGGCAAGATGACGGCGCCCACCAACATAACCGCCCCTGTGAGACGCCCAGAAACACCTTTGAGCAAGACGGCGGGAGTTTGTCCGTGGCTCTTCCAGCCCCAAAAGCGCACTAAATCTGGCGGCGTAACAAGATCGGCGGCCCGGCGCAGCCTGTTGCTTCGTTATCTTTAGGCCTAGGATGTGGTTGTGGCTGTGCTGTAACTACTAAGGATCGACGTCTAGGGGTGTTTCGCCAAATATCAACCCCAAGTGGCTTGCGCCCCACGCTACACCGCGATGATTTGTTTTTCCTGTCGCAACAACACGAAATAGTCGTCGCCTAGAGATAGACATTCCAAGGCTATGAACAAACGTTGTACGTTTCTCACTAACCTAGGCCCGGGCGACTGCAAGCTGCAGAGGGCTCTTCACCGCACACCGCAATGACTAGCTGAGTGATATACAATTTCCCTCGATTAGCCGGCAGCAACAGACCCACATGATGTTGTTAGAGGGCGTGTGGAGAAAGGACTTGGGCGTTCTGAAAGAGTGGGGAGTGCCATGGGGAAGATGATGGAGGACACGGCAAGTCTGGAGATCAGCGCCACTATGCTGGGAGAGTCTGGTTGCCAAGTCATGAGGATATCCTGGCCGGACAGTTGCGCTTTTACGAGACTTTGGCCTAGAAACTATCCTGATCAAGCCGGGTATCCTGTTTCGTGATGAGCGCATGGCACGGTTTCCAGTGTGACGCGGAGACTGGTACTAGCCTGAGATCTTCATAGGTTTTTGCAGATCTTCTGCTTCAAGAATCACGACCCAATTGCCGGAACAAGCAAATTCTTCTCCCGCGGCCGGCCAACCGTCCTCCACGTTTTACGAAAGCAACTTTATCTTAGTACATTCGGCCGTTGTGCTATTTCGTAATGACCGGACTTGAGCATTGCCGTGATAGCGGTCAGTTGGCCGTGTCACCCTCCACGCAACCAAACTAGCCTCTTGGGATGATGGCGAAGCACATGCGTTTACCCTCTCCGGACCCATCCGCTACGTCACTGGTGTTCCACAGTAGGTCTCGTGGGCAAGGGACTTCTGGGCATTGGGGGTCTTGACACCTTTTTCGCGAAGTGACACCGGACCCAGAAGTTGCATCCTGGATGATATCATGAACCTTGGGTGGCGGTGAGTAGATGGCGCAGCTAATCCTTCATGCCTGACATCCTCGATGCGCGGCCCGCTCAATTCGGCGGATGGGGCGCCATCAACATTGATAGATAGGTCCCTCAGACAGTTCGCACCAGACCGTTAGTGGTGTAAGTGTCATGTAACAGTCGCCGGGCAGTTCTTCGCTTCAAAGTGCTTAAATCAGTCGAGTGTTTTCAACTGCTCATTCCGAATCGTCTAGTTTCTTTACAAAAGGCAGTATCAGAGACCTGGTTTTGATGGATCCTCAGCTAAACAGCCTATGCTCTTGAATTTCTTGTGGAGTATGCAACTGTAGCCTTGGCCAAAGAATCTCTCAGACGACGGGTAATGTGCACCGGTCTGTGCAAGGGAGTCTATCCAAAACAAAGCTCTAGACGAAAAATTAAGCTCAGGTCAAAGTTTTCGTGTCTGTGATGGACACAAGGTGAGGCAGATCAAGGCAGGGCAATCTCCCGTCTGAGTTTATTGATCAGGAGATCGGCCATAGCTCCTACAGCCGCACGTGACCCTGCCAAGACATTGACGAAAAACAAAACATCGTTCTCAGAGTTATCTCCAGGCCCTATCCTCTGAATGCATCTCGAAAAGGCTGTCTAAAACCCAATCTGCAAACCCACCAATTGCGCAGTAGTAAAAACAGCCAAATACGAGCGGAACGCCACACGGAACCGCCAGGGGTAAGTCTTGGGGCTACATGCAGATTCTGTGTGTCAAGATCATCCCACCTAGAGACGCTTCCTCTGGGCGCTATCCCGCACCCATGGAATCGCAGATTCATACTGAAGGGGCCAGGGGCGGAGCGGAATCCCGGAAACAATCATTTCCACTTGGGCGTAGATGTTGCCCCTAAGCTCACGACAAGAAATAACAAGGCCGAATCAATCCGCCACACTTGTCCTAGGACCTCTGTTAACCTAAGACAGCGCACACGCCCTGATCAATGTCAGCGCAACCGCCGGGGATGGTGGCGATGATAGCGCGGCGAATTAGGTCGCTATAGCTTAACACGCTCTGACTGGAGGCGGAGCAGAAAGCACAGCATTTGCCCATGGCGCTTCCACCAGAGTCGTGTTCAACACCATGCGACGCAGGGATGCGCACGAGCATAAGCATCGGATGTATACCCGCACGTTGGGCACCGGGGCTGCTTCACTGGGCTTCTGGCATCGTCTTAGTCTGTCAACAGGATCAAATAGGCTTGCCGACATGCATAGCCAAGTAGCCGCCCGGCGCCTTACAGGGTAAGGGAGATGAAAAAGCTCGAGAAAAGGAAATTGAGGGCTTGCACAGCCACGGCTGGGCAAGCTTCGGGAGCCGACTTCCATCGCGAGAATTGTCACTTGTGAAAGGGTGTGTCCAAACACGCACGCACCCATGCTCGTGGATAAACAAACATCACTTCGACTTTTCGGATTACTTTTTGTCCGGGGTGTTTTTGCCTCTGCATTTGCCGTTCTTTGCGTCGGTTTTCGACTTGGTGTTTTTCTTATCGTGCACACGCGTAGGACCGGAACAAGCAAGCTCAGAACCAAACACTGTCATGATTGTCGTCACACCTACAAAAAGAAACCCGTCTATCTGTCGTTCTGTTACGTGTTCTATTTTTTCTTCTATTCAGTCTAGAAGACGGCTGCGCACGAACGTGTGCAAACTATGACAGTACGCGCGTCACGTACATGAGTTTGCCGAAAAGGCTGCAGCAGGTATGTTTGGGCGGATAACGATATGTTCTACGAAGGTGTCATTCACGCCTATTGGATGATGTAATGAGGATAACAACATGTCTGGCCGTGGGGGAGGCAACATTGATATGCTCCCCTCGATAAGCGTAAAGAAGACGCTGTTCTACTAACTGTAGTTTTATGTAGCCCACCCTACGTACACACGACCTGTCATTCTTGCTCTGTAAGCTCCGTTATGTGTAGCTCGTTTTACTCACATAGATTTTGTCATGTCTGTTGTAACAGAACTAGTCCCATCATTTTAACGTATTCTATTTTATCCTCCTCTTGCTTTTGGTTCATCTCTTTCTGCAAGTCAAATATAACAAACCCACACTTTCCCAACGTATTCTAGGCATTTAGCCAATGCCACTTCATGTACCTAATATAGCCCAGCTTGTTCACTGGCATACTTCTCGTTGAAGAACTTTTAATAGCGGATATGTTGTGTATTTTGGCCGGCATGGATCAATTTCCATTTTCTTGAGTCATCCCATGCAGTCATGACTCTTACAATCTACAAGACAGCCAAGGCCAAGTATGCGTTATACAGGTTCAGCAGTATTGTGTAAAAAAACCATAGCCCTGAGACAGCGCATCTAGGGTTCTAAGCCGCTTGAGCAACTGGAAATAGACTAACCCACACTATGGAATGCCTACAGTGCGGCTGTGATATTGTAGTTAGCTCAGCTCAGACACTTGCATGGGTATTTACAACTATGGCACCAGCTCCCTCTCTATACAATGATAAATCTCGCTTCTACAAACAATAGATTCCGTGTCTTTGGAAACAACATGGGCTGCACCATCTCGTCGCTCTCAAAGTATACTGGAACAACTTTTGTAAACCAACTACAAAATTTGGCACTGCTGCTCCTTACAGGTAAGAGTTTAACGCCGAAGCGAGATTCCTCCGGATGTCGATTTCGGAGGCATGCCTGAGTTGGCAGTGGGGACCTGGTGGCGCTTTTTAACTTTGAAGACTAACGCGAGTAAGACAGCATCACTAGATATGTACTTTGCGCTCACCATCTCATGCAATAGATGCGGCTGTTAAGATCCTATGAATATTCGAGTTCCAATCCAAAGTTTCTCAACTCAATTCTTACACACCATTTCCACGTGCACCAGGATACGCAAAACAACACCAAAGCAGCCGACAATGTATTATCTATTCCACCACTTGCCGCCCACTCTTGCCCCAGTGCGTCACGAAATTCCGCAGCATACGACATAGTGGCGTCAGGCGTCCAGCGAATGATCTAGCACACCACCCTTACAGCCTCGATTCATCGCCCTGGGCTTGATTCCTTTTCTATGAACGCAACTGCACCTCCGTTCACACGCATCTAGCAGTGTTTCCCTACCCTCGCACCTACAAGTATGGCATTGAAAAACGATGGCGACACACACGTATCCGAGCTTGGTGTACTGAGGCCAATGAAAGAAGGAGAAGAAGAAGAAGAAGAAGAAGAAGAAGAAGAAGAAGAAGAAGAAGAAGAAGAAGA